GGCTGGAACAGTTTTGTTTCACACGTGTGGGTTTTTTTTAAATAGTCTGGCGGGGCGTCTATGTGCGGGTTTTTTTAATTAACAAAATGGTATAGCCGCCCGGCTATTTTTTAAACGTTGGTCCTTTTTTTACACTACGGCTATACTGGGAAAAACAGTATAGCCGCGCGGCTATACGTGGGCAATTTTTTAAAATAAATTGTATAGCCGCTCGGCTATACGCACGCGACCTGGGCGGGTTTTTATTTTATTTTTAATAAATAGTATAGCCGTTCGGCTATACAGGTTTTACACGTGGGCAACTAGTCGCCAGTCCTTTTTAAAATGTATAGTATAGCCGCGCGGCTATACTTATTTTCACATGTGTACACCTAGGCGAAAATGACTGATATTTAGAAGAGAAAATGAAGAAAAATTATCCATGAACTTCAAACAACTAAAGGAGAGTCCCAATACTAACCTTAGAAACGCGAGTGCAAGAATACTGATTGATATTCCAAAAGCGAATCTCACAGGAGCAGAAAAGGTCATTCTTCTTAGGATAAAAATCAAGTCACATTACATGCGAGGTATGCCCTGCCCTGCATATGTCTATAAAGAATAGTTTGGCTGCCAAAATGAACTCAAACCCTTTAGAAACCCAAAAAGAATAAAACAGAAATGAAACAGAAATGCATTTGGCAACATTAAAAATGAAACAGAAATGGAGGCACAGAATTTGCTTCAGCAGCATCCCAAAGTCGCACAGTTGTGTCAAATGAAGAAGTTGCCAACTGTGGTCTAAATGGAACATCAGTAATTATCAAGGAGTGCTCCTCTGGTGTGCTTTCAGTTTGCAGTGTTTCCATATTCCAGACAACAACCTACTGACATGAAAAAACGAAAGAAAATCATTCACATCATTCCTTTTCTCATTAATATTGAAATTTGGATAACTTAGGATTGTTTGAAACAATTGAAGTCACTAATTTATTGAACTCCAAAGTAAAAGTTTCAGACCATCTGAAAATAGCATCACTCTAAAACCAGTTCTGTTACAATTATCAGATAAGAAGTACCTAAACCCAATTAGTAAATCAATTATTTAGCTTACAACAAGACTTGAACCTGGGCTCTACCCCTTCCCCATCCAACCCCAATTCCACCTGAGTTGGATCATGGGCATTTGATAAATCAACAATTGTTTTGCACCATTTCTTAAACCTTCTGATTATTTGATTGTGGATAAGGCAAAATCAAACATGGTCAATTTGAGTTTGCACAACTATAGCACCATGGAAGAATCAGGAACACCACAGATTCTCTACTCATATATCAGTTCTCCTATGCGGATGTTCGGACATTATTACCATGCCGATGCCATTGTAAAATGAATGCCTTGCCTCCAGTCGGAAATACTATGTGAAACTGGAAAAAGGCCATTCTGGGAGAACTTTATAAAATCGCAATCATACAGAGCCAGTGACAATGCATATATGCCAAAGCCATTCAACCATTTTGCTAAAAGGATCTTCAGGGATACAGCAAATTCTGGTATCGATCTATTTTTTCTTACATGGACCCCACTAAATCAGTGTTAACTTCAGATGTTATCACAAATATGGGGTGTAACAATCAGTAGAGATGCTTTGTTTTAGATAAATAATCAAAATAATCAGAATGGCTTTCCCCGGAACTGAGTCATAACATATTTCCTGAAGTATTTTCTGGACCAAAATAATACAAGTCAGTAGTAACTAGTAACAGCATCATTCATGTGAAGCATAAATGAATAAACACTTTACAACATTATACCTTCTTGTCATGCCCAGCACTGGCCAACAGTTTTCCTCTGAAGAGAAATGACAACAGACAACTTTGCTACTACCTTTACGTATTGAACCAACTTCACTGAAGGAAAAACCTGAGTTAAAGGGAAAAAGTCACTGCTGCAGTCAGTTGGATTAATTAACACTGTACTTAATAGCAGTAATCTTGGCTGCAATGAATTTAGCAAGATTGTCTCTTGGGTTTTGGCATAAAATAGTTTATTAGAAAGAAATAAGGCAGCTATAAATGAATTCAGGTTGACATCACCTGGAAAAGACCATGAAGGAAGATTGCCCAGAAAGTACACGTTAGAAGGTCAAGGAGGGAAGAAAAAATTATCTATCACTAAATGGTACAATCTGCCAAGTAACCAAGAGTCTGGCTCTTGCGGTGCAGGATATTGATGCCCCGGAACCTAAACCTGGCCGCATCTGCTCAATTCCCTGCATGGTCTATAACTGTAAACTCATTTTGAGCATAACTTTATTTTTTTCATCACATAAAATTCTATGCCTCTATTTTAATTCTTAAATTCTTTTAAGAACCAGGAAGTCATACCTGCATTCCCTATTCATGGTTTTGACTGCATCATTCCCTGCCCATAATTGAAGAATCCATAGGCCCATGTTAACTGCACTCTTTATGTCCTACAGACAAGGAAGAACCAAAGCTTTACTAAAATTAGAAAGAAGGAAGGGAAGAAAACAGTACAATTGGTGTATTATAAGTAGTTACTGTGGTCTGTTCACTTCGAGCCTGGATTTGTTGTAATGCCGCATTAACACTACCGGGGTTTCCTTGAACCATCTCGCTGTATTAGCAAATGACCAAGAAAAATAAACTACCAAAATAACTAAATATCAGAAAACTGTGAAAGTATCAGATCTTCCAGTTGCTTACCCAGGATGGTTTGTTGATTTCAGAAGGGCCACTCTAGCATCAAGGACTGGTTGGGATGTCTCTGAGTCAATTGAATTGGGGTGTTTCATACGTTCCTCGTAGTAGCCGCGGCTATAATATTTTCGACACGTTGGTCCCTTTTTTCAACTAAATAGTATAACCGGGCGGCTATACTGGGGTATTTTTTATTTTTAAAAAATAGTATCGCCAGGCGGCTTTCTTGTTGAAATTTTTGGAAAAAATAATATAGCCGGTCGGCTATACCTGTACACACAATAAATAGTATAGCCGCGCGGCTACACTTGTGTTCGCGCTTGAGCTTCTGTGGGCTAGGCGTAGCTTGTTTTTAAAATAGTATAGCCGCGCGGTTATACTTGGGCTATCATTATTTTTTCCAATAGTATAGCCGCCCGGCTATACGTGTTCAAACGTGGGCGCCTAGCCGGTAGGCAGTTGTTCGGGTTAAATTTTTTTTAAAAGCCGCGCGGCTCTACTATTTTTGACACGTTGGTCCTTTTTTACTAATAAATAGTATAGCCGGATTTTTTTATTTTTAAAAAGTGTATAGCCGGCCGGCTATACCGGTTTTCACAATTGGCTGATAATGCATGCCGTAAGTGCATGACCATGTTGGTAAAATTTGTGTCATCTTAAAAAAACACACAATTTCACTATAATTAAAAAAGAAAAAGAATTCCTAATTGAAACGTCAAACTTAACATCTTCTCCTCTTCTTTTTTCTTCTTTCCCAAATTCTTCATGCCTCTTCGATCAAAAAATTTCCTCTTTCTCATTAGAAACCATGTGATGGTGGTTGTTTTGATTAATATTAATTATTGGAGAAGGAAAGAAAATAGATTGTAAGGTGGGACTTAGGTGTTTACTGAAGTTTCCGAGGGAAATAAAGCTTGCTTAGAGAGGGCTTGATGAATATGAAAGAGCTAATATCATATAATATGTGATGCAAAATTATATTAGACTCAAAAGAAGAAGAAAGACTAACGGTTCCAGAGTTAAGCTTGGAGTTTGTCTAATTACAAATTTTTTTCTTTTTTAATTCTTATCAAATTGAGTTTGTCCATTGGTTTGAGGATGATTCGATGTGGAAAACTTCAACTGAGATCCCATCATGTTAAACAAACTTGTTCAGAACCTGCCTATAAACCTAGCATCTTGATCATTAAAATCCTCCAGTAATCCAAAGTACTTCACCACATGTTTGAAAAACAAACATTATGTCAGATCCGCAGGGTAAGCATGTGGTGTGGCTATGAAAACCGCATAACTTGAGAATCTGTCAATCATAACAAGGATAGACTGCATACGTTCTATCTTTGGTAAGTTGGTGATGAAATTCACGGACACCGATTGCCAAGGTCTATCAGGTATAGGCAGTCGTTGTAGTAATCTTGCCTCTTTCTTTCTTTCAAACTTGTCTTGTTGGCAAACCAAGCAAGTTTTCAGATAGGCTTCAATGTCGTCCTATATCTTTGGCCAGTAGTAGGATCTTCAAACCAATGCAATCATTCTGTCAACTCCAGGATGTCCAACCCATTGCGGATCTTCCTCCTTTGGCATAGAGTAGATCTTCCTCCAACCAATATCTTCTCACAAGTCCCTCCCTTACTTGTTGTTGGAGTTTGATGTAGGCTGAATCATTAGATTGGTCTCGAATCCAATCTAAGAAATCTAAGTGCACTAGGGTAAGTGTAGCCACAAATTCCTGAACTTCTTTATGACTCAACACGTCCGCCAATTGATTTAGCTTACCAGGTATGTGCACCCAATCAAAATCAAATTTCGACAAGAACTCTTGCCAACGTGCTTTCTCTGGGGTCAGCTTCTTTTGGGTCTTGAAGTATGTGTTTGCTACATTATCTGTCACTATCGTGAATTGAGTGCCCACTAGATAGTGCCTCTAAATTTCCAAGCAATGCACAATTGCAGCCATCTCCTTCTCGTGGGTGGAGTACCGTTGCTCACAATCCTTAAGCTTAGGCAACGAGGTGTACTTCCTAGACCAACACCCCACCAATAGCTCTATCCGAGGCATCAGTGTGAACTTTGAAATATATGTCTAAGTTCGGTAGCTTGAGTACCAGCTCCATAGCCATGACTTGGTTTAACCCTTTGAATGCTTCAACACATTTTCCTGTCCAACACCATGGTTTGTCATTAACCAATCTGTCAAGGCATTCACCTTCTTAGAGTAGCCCTCAATAAACTTGTGGTACTAGTTAGCTAACCCAAGGAAACATCTCAAGTTTGGCACTTGAGTAGGTTCAGACCAGTCAAGGATGGCTTGAACCTTCTTCCCATCTATGTGTATCTTGTCTTTCCTCACCAAATAACATTATATATTGGCAGCATAATTCACATTTCTCTTTTTTGACATAGAGTTGATATTTCCTAAGCCGTGAGAAAACAACTCTAATAGGTTTCAAGTAGCTCTTCAACGAGTCACTGTACACCACAATATCATTCAAGTAAACCATAACAAACCAGTCCAAATACTCATAAAGGATATCATTCATTAAATTGTAGAAAGTAGCAGGGGAATTGGTTAACCCAAACAACATTACAAGAAATTCATATGAGCCATATTTGGTTACACAAGCAGTTTTTGGTTTATCTCCCTCCACAATGCGCACTTGCCAATAACCTGAGTGCAAGTCCAACGTTGTGAAGTATGTAGCTTTCGACAACCTATCAAACAAGTCAGCCGTGTTTGGAACATGATACTTGTTCTTCACTGTCGCCTTGTTCAAGGCACGATAGTCCATACACATCCTCAACGTTCCCTCTGCTTTCTTTTGGAACAACACTGGAGCACCGTATGAGGCTTTTGAAGGTTGAATCGGTCCAACATCCAGAAACTTATTCAACTGTTTTATGAGTTCTGCGCTAACTCAGATGGTGCCATTCGATAAGGGGCCTGAGCAGGGGGTCTTGACCCAAAACCAATTCTTTCTTATGATCAATGACTCGCCGAGGAGGAAGCTGCTTGGGCAGTTCCGCACGCAAAATGTCCATGAACGCATCCAAGTGTTTAAGTTGGAGTTTAATGATAATCCTAATGGTGGTTCTCCTGAACCTGCTCCTGCTCCTCTATTGGTAAAGGTTGTCAGCTGTGGTGATTGAAGATTGATTCTAAGAGAGATATGCAATCAATTATTTCAAGGTAGCAGTGAAATAGTACTTATGATCCCTGTGATAGGGCACTAAAATACTGCATCTATTGTGCTTTAAAGTCATTACTTTCGAAACCTCAACATGTCTAGTTCACACCAAATCCTTGGTAAGCTTAGCCTTATTATTAGAGCAAGTGTAAATTATACAAAATGGGTCATTGGACTGACTATCTCTCTCTCAAGTGTTTGAAGTGTTGGAATAATATTCATATGGCCAATGACTTGGCAGACTATGTTGTTGTTGGTTAGCTTAGTGATACCACACCTTTCTATCATAAAGAAATCTTATGAATTTGTTATAGTTGTTTCATTTTTAAAATTTGTAATCACTAGCTTTATGAATCCCATGGATTATATAGCTATTCATATACTCTCATATCTTTTTTCTTTTGGGAGAAAGAGTAGTGCTCTGAAGCAAACTCCTAATTGGACAAGTAATAAAACTAAACAAGATGCCACTTGTAAAGGCCCTTAATCTAATCATATTGATATACTAATAAAGTAAAACTTGTGGTGCACTAGATTACTAATCGGGCACTGTTTTTTTTAACGGAGCAAGAGATCTCTGCAATTGAGTGGCTGCAATTCAAATCTCTTATATGTTACGATATGGGGAATACGCTTAAAAGGGAAGTTCAGACACTTAAGGGAAGACTGGAGAAAATGCATTCAAACAATATCTTAATTTTGACTTCTGAGCACAATGCAGGGTGGTGTGCAACCCTAGCTATTAGAGGTTAACTAGGAGAAAAGCCATCTCTCAATTAATTAGATGAGATGCCTCAAATGCATACGGAGGCATGGCATGGAGCCAAGCAATGCGTAGTGGCTCCAGTGGTTCCAACGACATCATGGCATGGAATGACTTTAATGGTTTCCATACAAACATGCACCCATTCCAGCTAGTTAATTATTACATATCTCTGTCTTCACCATGCCTCGCTCAGTCATCTATTTCCTTTTTTCAAGTTCAGACTGCATCATATCACCACAACAATGATCATAAATTAATGATGTATGATGTACCAAAAATTTCAAAAAAATTCGTTCTTATATGTTTTACCTTTATATGATGTATTAAGCCTTGAATTAACCCCACCTTGAATTCTTCTTGCTATTTCCAAAAGCGATTCGATGACTTGTTTCCCTATTTATTTGCTTAGGGCAATTTCCAAAGCACAAAGGGTACAAGTTAGCCTTTAAGTGCGTATGCTATCTCAAAATTCTCCATGTCTCTTATTTCCCAGATAAAATTCTTGCCGTCCCCAAGTTCTAACTGTGTAAAATAAATCGAATCAAAACTAGAACAGGAAAAACTAAGCAAATAAGTATATATACAATATGAATGCATACCATGGCATGTGAAACCAGTCCAATTAGTTGCCTAGTTGAGTCGATGCTTGAATTCCAAGAAACTTCTTTTGAATCCTAGAACAAAAATTAATGGAGGCTGAAGTTTGAAATTTAAAACTTATTCAAGTAACACTAAATAGAGTTTAAGTAATTTACCTTGCTTCAATGCCATACAGGGCACAATCGAGAGGTAACATGTCTTTTTAGTTCCTTAGACAATTTGTTGTCAAGGAACATGAAGGACATGCTACCTCTCGATTGTGAATGCAAGCAGCATGGCATGGAGTTGAGCAATGCGTAATGGCTCCAATGGTTCCAACAACGACATGACATTGAATGGCTCCAATGGTTTCCATACGAACATGCACTCCCCCCAGACAGTTATTTACTTAAACTCATTCAAGTAAATAACTGAATGAGTTTAAAATCGATAGAGGTTGAAGTTTGAAATTTAAAACTTATTCAAGTAACACTAAATAGAGTTTAAGTAATTTACCTTGTTTCAATGCCATACAGTGCACAATTGAGAGGTAGCATGTCTTTTGTGTTTTTAGACAACTTGTTTAAGGAACATGAAGGACATGCTACCTCTCTATTGTGCATATAGCAACATGGCATGGAGCCGAGCAACGCGTAATGGCTCCAATGGTTCCAATATGCACACCCTCCAACCAATTATTACATATCTTTGTCTTCACCATGCCATTCTTTTTCTGTTGGGTATATATTTAGGGGTAGTTTGGGAAGATAGTAAGGTTTTCTTAGAAAATTGTGGAAATTTGAATTAGAAGTTGTGTGAACTTAGAACGTAGGGTGAACAAAAAGAAGTGCGAGGTTTAAATATAATACTTTGAAAAAGGTATACGACAATTTGTTGGAAAGGTTTGTCTGGCAAAAATTTGTAGAGAAGAACAAAATTCACGAGGAAAGGTCTATCTTGTTGAAGTCTGTCAAGAAAGAATAAGATTCGCTAGGACAGGTCCACCTAGTGAATGTTTGTCGAGAAAGAACATAATTCGTCGGGACAAGTCTATCTCGTCGAAAATTAGTCGAGAAAGAACAAGATTCGTCAGGAGGAATGTCTTTCTCAGTGAAACTTTTTTTTTTTTCCTCCTTTATGTATAAAGAAAGATATCTTAGTGCTAATGGGGTCTAGCTTAGTGGAAAATGACATTGACTTGCAGATAATTGGTTTCAAATTCAAAACTCTATGACATCTTAGAGCATCTCCAGCGCTGCTGGTTTGCCCGGGCAACAGGGGGCCTAGGCCCAGCTTTTGGCTCCAGCGCACAAAGACAAGACCAGGCAGTTGATGGGGCCATAAGCCTAGGCAAGCCCAAAGACAAATCTTGCCTGGGATCTTGCCTGGGTTTGCTGATGTCAACAACTAAAAATATTTTCAGAATTTTTTTATATATAAATACCTAGTCCTATTTTTCACTTCTCATGCCAAAATTAATGGTTTAAATATAAAAAATATATAATAAATTAAAACAAATAGTAATTGCCCTTGCTCTTGCCATTTGGGGTGGAACCAAAAAAAGTAAGGCTGACAATATTCACGTAAATAGTGTCAAACCTTGCCTTACCTGTACCTTTTGGGGTAGACTTGCTCTTAGTTGTGTGTTTATAAGAAACCCCTCTCCCGTGTTCTCAAAAAAGATATCTTCGTCAATTCATATATAATCTTGTTTATTGTTATTTCTCTTTCAATTTGAAAAGATACATTCAAATGCTCTCACTTTTCTCATATCCATAAAAATTAGATTTTATTTTAGGCCAAACGACGTCGCTCGTGGCTTCTCTACTGAAAATTTTCGGTTTTTGGGTAAAAATAAAATAATCCAAGGAAATTTCAGTTCGCCCCTCCGTCCTCTTCCCAACTCCAACAGCCACAGATCAGACCCTCTCTCTCTCTGTCCTCCCATGGATTTGCTTGCGCGCAGTATCTGCTTCTACCTACTTACCATTTTTTCGTTTCTCTTCTCGCAAGCTAGGGTTTGCTCTCTCTCGCTCTCTCGATCTATCTATATATTTTTGTAGCGATGACAAGTCGTCGATCTGATTATTGTGTTGTTCGATTTTGATCCAGGTCGAAGGTACTGCTTCCGTCTTCTTCATCGATAGCTCCACCCATCGATTTCTTCGCAGCTCGTCCTCAAACGATGTCATCAAGGTAATTCCAGCAATTGCTTCTGCATCTCAATTACCTATCTATATTCGTCAATTTAATTCTGCCTATGAAATTCAGTAGAATTGAACTAAAATGGTCAGAAATATGTCGATCTATTTATGATTTTACCTCTAAAAAGGACTCTTGAGTTCTTCTTAGTACCGAATTTTAAGCATACCTACATGTAGTTTAACAGTATTCTTTTGTACATAAAGGGATACTTAGATGTTGTTCGTCATTTGTTTGCTAATATTACATGCTTTTACATTCACAGCCTGACTCAATGTTGCTCCCAGAAGTCAGTGCAGCAGTGTCGGTCTTGCTTGGATTTGCACCACCTGCCACGCTCTCAGCTGCTGGTTCAGCTAAGGTGTTTGATAATAAGTGATGTGAAGTTATTTTATCCAGTTACTTCGCTTCTCGATACTCAAATGTCTAATTCATGATATATCCTTGTTTCTTTTTGGTAGTTGAATGAGGTTCTCTTGCCTAATCCATTCAATAGACCTCGTGCTGTTTTTGTGCTGGAAGTCGGAGGAATTGATGGTATATACACTTGGTTCCAAAATGCAAGCTAACCTGTGGATCTTTTATTTTGTCATTATTGTTTTATGTTGTGCACTGACTATCAACATGAATGTATTATACATGCAGATCCTAGTCTTGTAGTCAAAGATAACGCCATGTTCAGCAGCGCCTATAGTGCCAAGATTGATTTTGGCTCAAACAGAGCTGACATTGAGCTTCCAGGTATATTACTTTTTATAAATGTATAAGTGGCTAAACTAGTGCATGAACATTACTATTCATCATCTAGAAATACATGAGTTTTATTCATTGTGTGTGTTGTTGCAGATCAAGGTGAAGTCTCTGTGTTTTCTTTGGATGAACAATTGGCAGATTATACTGTCAAAGAGATTGGCGATTTTGTGAGTCAGGCTTCAAGTTATTCTATATCATATTTTGTTTTCCATGTTGTTTATCTTTTCCATATTCTTGGTTATTTTCCCTGTATACATGAAAAGGAATTTGAGTTCTCGTTTTAATCTTAATTTGAATTTTTTTTTTTCCTTAGGCATCTTGGATGGGTGGTTCATATGTTGTTGATACATTGGAACCACTAAATGGAGAGTTGAGCATCCCTTTGGCCAATGGTGACAACTTGAAGCTTCATATGTCAAAGGTTCTCTTATATTGAGTGTTACATGGTCTTTTGTTTGATTATATATTATGCATATATGTTGTAAATTTGGCCACTTAAATCGCAAGGTTTGCATTGCATATCTTTGCAGGAGGCAGACAGGATATTCACAACTAGCCTTTTGTCTCTCATCCGCAACTTTAAAAGTGCAATGGAGATGCATCAAGATTTGTCTCACAGTATCCACAGCCCAGCTGAGTTATTAACCGGCCGTTTTGATCGAATCAAGGTGTTGTTTCCTTCCTTTCTATTCTTGGTAACTTCAAATTTTAGAATGGATGTTAGAAAATGTTCTTGTCGATAGAAATGAAGCTTTATATAATGTATATTTTAGTTAGTAATGTTACAGTTAAGATAAGGAAGACAGAGGTGTAGGAATTCTGCATGGATTGTGTCAAAGTAATAACTAACTAGAGTATTCTTTGTGTGTGGATATGTTTATGTTTACGGTGGGAGGGGGAGGAAGATCTAAGTCCCTCCAGGCCCAGTTCGGGGTGATACTTTCAAATGGATCATAAAAAATAATAGACTACTTTCAGATATACCCTCTGACAAAGACTCCATGTATTTATCTGATCAGAGAGAAGGCATTCCAAGAAACCACTAAGTTTGGTATGATGACAAGCCACAGTTTCTCACTCATTTTAAAAAAAAAGTGAGAACGTACTCTTACCCGAATAGTTAAAAAAACGTGTATTCTTTTTAATTATTCCGGATGAGGGGGAAGTGGAGGGTAGGTATGGTGTGGAGCTCACTTTTGGGCATCATGCTTTCACATCCTCTGGATTTCGGGATATACTATTATCTCTTATTTTTGTCGATTGGAAGGCTGCATTGTTAAGTTGATTTCAGTTAGCTTAGATGTTTTTTGATCTAATTTAAGATACTCCGAAACCCAGCCCACATCAGGAGCTGACATGCCTGAGTCGACTCTGCCGACTCTGCCATCGAGTTTTCCTTGCTCAGCCTCACATATTTAATATGTTGGTTAGAGGTCTTTCCTTTTTTAGTGGACAGCTTGTTTGTTTTTGTTGTATTGAGTATTGATATTTATATCATATTTAATAAAATCCTTTTGTTAATCCTTAAAAAGAAAAGAGTACATCAAAACCCAATGCGTATGTTACATATATTCAGTACATGTGCAGATATAAACACGCACACCCACAGAGTCAAATAATGTGTTTGCACTTTCTTTTCTGCATGCGTCGTTGTTTATTCTTATTACGCAACTGTAGTGAATTCCATAGCTTAATAATATTTGTTTTATAACACTATGCTAGGTTTTGCAAGAGCAGTATGGAACTGAAGGTGCTGCTCATGGAGTGGAGCTGCTACTTGCTACACTGTCCAAGATATTTGACTCACTCGATGATGCATACAAAGGTGATCTTGGTTTTAACTTTTTGGTAATTATTATCTGATCGAAGGCCGTAGCTTTACAATATTCCTATGCCTAGGGGAAGAAAATACCTGACGTTACATGACAATCTGCACATAACTAATTCTTGTTCTTTTAAAGCAACTCCTGTTCCTTGAAAGATTGTAGCCAATTTTATGTATATATCTGCCTTATCTTTGATATTGTTAAATCATTTTTATTTTTCGTTGTTTAATAGTTTGGTTGAATATATCACTGTCTTTAAAGTTGACATTAATTTGGCAGGTCAAATTGTTGGAGCTATCCTTTTCAATGGAGTTGCGCCTGTGGAGTCAGGGAAGATGTTGAATGTGATGTTTAGTTGTCAGCCATCTCCTCGTTGGTTGGCTGAAAAAGAAGTCCCGAAAGATACAAAGATTGTGCAAGTGCTTTTGGTTAGACGTACACTTGCTTGGATCACTGGAATTATTCTCATCATTTCCACTCTATTGGGGGTAAGGTTCACTTGTCATTAAAGACCCACAGTGAAACATGAAAAGGAGAAGAAAAAAACCCCAGTGGCCATGAACCAAATTTTATATGCTGTTTGGACTTTGGTCAAGAAAATTGCAAGTTTAAGGATGAAATAATCAAACTAATTATAGTTGAAACATCTGCTCTGGCTTGACAGACTAAGGAATTTAAATAAATTAAAAAGGCTTTCTTGAATCATTTTTGTTAGGATGTCCAGTAGGTTATGAATCACCTGTAGATTGTCAGATACATGTTTTTGACTGATTGTACAAATGAGGTTATTTTATGTTTTGGCTATGTAGGTTGTCCTGTGATACAGTTAGACAGTGGTTAAAAAGGATATTTCACATGTTTTGTTGCCCTTGTTTCGATGTAGGTATGCTTCCTTCTGAATATGCCAGTCACCAGGGATACTCTACTGTACTCTAATGTCAAGCTGGACTAAGCATGAAATGGAGCTACTTGTTCAATGTTCCGAGTGCCTGGAAGAGGCCCAGGTTGCCACTAAACCTATTATGACATGTCTTATGTAGATGCCTTGTTGTATGTATCCATGATTAACATTGTTGTTGGGATACTGTTATCTGATGATACTGAACAGGTTTCTCTAGCTAATCAGATGCTCTCTATCACACTGATGGCATGAATTGAGAATTGGCTTTATGGAAACGTTAGTTATTAGTCAGAAAGGTTATTATTCATTTTTTATTATAAAAAATGTAAATCATGGTTTGGGCACCAGGGGTATAAACGAGAAATTTCTTGTTTGTTGAATGAGGTTTATTCTCAGCATTAGGGTGACTTGAGGAGATTCTCTATGATATATGTATTTGGTGTATTTAAATCTAGAGTTTTACATTATATGTATTGTATCTCCTGAGATTTGAATTAAAAAAACCATTCAATTTTCTT